GTCACAGTCACAGTCACAGTCACAGTAACCGTCACAGTCACCGTCACAGTTACAGTTACAGTCACAGTCACAATCACAGTCACAGTCACCGTAACCGTCACAGTCACCGTCACAGTCATAGTCACAATTACAGTTACAGTTACAGTTACAGTTACAGTTACAGTTACAGTTACAGTTACAGTTACAGTTACAGTTACAGTTACAGTTAGAGTTAGAGTTAGAGTTAGAGTTAGAGTTGCAGTTACAGTTACAGTTACAGTTAAAGTTTAAGTCACACTTTTAAAATGTCGAAATCAGTTCACAAACTAAAGTTTCTACTATAAAAAGTCATAGAATTTAAAGAATATAAATAGAAAAATCATAATAAAATATGAACCGAACAAAAAGAATTTAGTTTAGTTTTTAGCTCTACAATTAGAGGTAGTCGATTTAACTTATTCATAGTTTGATTTATTATCAGCTCAAAGTCGTATACAGATGATTTGATGTTTGCCTGCATTGCCACTATTTTATTTTGTAATTTGTGAATTTCTTTCTTTTTTTTTGCTCGAGGTAATTACGTAGCTGTGATACATTCTCATGACTAATCCACGCAATGATAAAGTTGGCTAATATTTGTATTTAGTGAGCTATTCAAGCTTTTAGTGGCCCAGAGTGCATTGATTTAGAGTTGGGTTACGGTTCGCTTTAGCTTATATGCGTGACAGGCTGTCTGTCGGACGGAGACAGTGGGACACACTCTGCTTCGGAGTTGCACTAGAATATAATCAAAGCAATTGCTCATCGGGGTATTATGTAAGCGTAGCGACTGCCTCTGCCTCTGGCTCAGTCACTGTCACTGCGACAGCAATCCAACCCATTGTTGTCGAGTTCGTGTGACTTTTCACAGCCGAACTCAACAAAAAAGGCGAATCCAATGCAATGGGCAAAATCGTAATCTCCCAATTGCGTAATACTCTACGGCGCACAGCTAAAAATGAAAAATAATAAAAAACGAGTGTCTAATTAGATATTGCAGTGGCTCTGAATCTGGGTAATTGTCAACAACTGTAAAGCGATTAGAAGAATTTTGTAAAATGTATACTAAACTTAATTTCTAAAAACCTCTGTAAATCCAAACAAAATTAGCTATATGATATGATATACGATATTCTTACATAAAATGATTGGATAAAGGTTGGAAAATCTAATGAAAAATTAAATGGGAATAGCGTCGATTTTGTGACATGATAATTATATTATTTATATCTATAAACGAATTCGCTAATCAATTATAACTAGACATTCTTTAAATATGTTGATGAATGTGTGATATATGGTATTTTTAGTAGAGAACTGAGTATTAATATTTGAAGCTGACAGCCATCAAAGACGGGTCCTATAAATAGTTATTCATAGTTATTTTAAGCAGAATATAAGAGCCCATATTCAGCTTTAAATAACTGTGCCATTTGTAAGACCTGTCCATCACAGTTTAAACAGTCCATCACGCCTAATGATCGCTCCCTCCCTAGAGCACTATCGATTCATTTGAATGCTATAGCGTATATAAAACTGAATGATTTAGTAACAATAGGTCTAAGCCCTCTCGTCAGACTCAATTGAGCCATGTAGGCTTGACTGGGTTTGTTCTCCCCTGGAAACTCCAGTATCTTTAGGTTGTCATAACCTACATATCAATGTGTATATGACAGCTGTTTAAGGTAAATGCATGGTAGATTCTTCATTATTAAACACTTTATTACACATTGTATATAAAATGAAGCAAATCGACTTTAATTTCTCTAATATCTTACAGGGTATTTCTCGCTGCTAAACGAAAAGGGACTGCCGACTGCCACGCAGTATGTTTCGCTAATGCAGCTGGTGCGTGAGCGCGTCTACAAGTTTGCGTCGGTGGACAATATGCCCGCCTTCACGGAGTCCTCTCCGCCCGGCGGTGCTAACGGGGCGACCAGTCCCACCCACGAGGGTTGCCTGCCCAGCATGAAGCAGAGGCCGCAGTACGTGAAGACGACTGCGAGGGGAGGGCAGGTGTTCAAGCTGCTCGCTGTCTTTGAGGACGGAAAGCAGGAGCATCATGGAATGCAGCAGCACCATCATCATTCGAATGCTCTGAACAGCATTTCCAAGTCGAATTTAATAGCTGGCCGGGACAAGGAGAAGGGCCGCTATGCGCAGCTGCTGAACGAGCAGAGGCAAGTGATGTATGTGCCACTGGCAACCAAAGGGAAGTTCTACGAGATCGAGCCGGGCATTCCGCAGCTGCTCCAAAAGATGGGCGACACGCAGCGTAAGCTGAATCCGGAGTGTGTATATCGACTAGGCGCCTTGGTGGCAGCGGCCAAGCAGTTGCCTTTAACGCTGCGCTACATCTCGGGGCCCGCGGGCGCTGAGATACCCGAACAGCTGTGCATAAGCCGAGTGAGTCGGGAGGATGTCATCATTGGCTGCCCGCTGGACGAGCTGGACGGACATGGCCAGGTGCAGCCGCAGCAGCAGCTGCAGCAGCACCAGCACCAGCAGCAGCTTCAATTGCGCAAACTCTATGTCAGCCGGGAGATGCAGCTAACCAAGTGTCTACTTGGCTTCGATACGGAACAGCGAATGCTGGCCAATGCCCAGGTGCAAAACATGCTCAAGTTTTGTCAATTCAATTGCGATCAGTTTCTGAAGCTGGTGGAGATTGAGCTAATGCAGCCCAACGAGCGCTCAGGCAGCAAAACGCGCGAGGGTCTCAAGATATTGAAGCCTTTGCATCTGCCCAAGTTGCTGCGCCGCGAGAAGAGCAGCATGGCGGCCACGGCGGCTCATGAGAAGGAGGACTCCATCATTTTTCTGAGCAAAACGGACTTGGAGCAACTGGAGGCTAAGGAGGTGGCCGCAGCAGCTGCTGCAGCTAGCGAGGCATCCACTCAGATCACACCAAATCGTATTACAGAGCGCATGAAGGTCTTTCAGTCCACCAAAAAGAAATGGTTTCGCAAGCAGGAGCACCAGCAGCAACAGCAGCTGGATAAGTCCCAGACGGAGCTGCAGCTGGATGCGCAGGCCAAGCGCTTGAGCATGGAACGCTATACGGATATGTCCAAGCTGTTGCAGGAGCGCTTTGGCAATGAGGAAGCAGTGGCTGCTTCAGCTGACACGCAATCGCTGCACAGCGAAACGGAGACTACAACCTTAAGCAATAGCATGGAGCGCAACTCAATGCCCAAATCTCTGGACACGCTGCTGCAGAAATCCATGTCCCTGCAGGACATTGAGCTGTTGAATGGGCAACGCGGTCAGCAACGACCTGATCTTCTCGCAGCGCACGCGGACGCCATCAGCGAGGCTGGCAATGAGCTGGAGGATGTGGAGAATCAGACGCCGCCGCCGCAATCCTTCATCACCGAGAAGCTCTACAATGAGTTCCATGTGAAGACACGGCAGTACAGCAAGTCCTCCAGCAGCTTGCATCAGCTGCGACACTTTTCGCTGCCTCAAAAGATGCAGCTGCACGAATCGGAGCCCGAGAAGCGCAACCAGACGCAGTTCCGTGCCCAGCAACAGCTCCAGCTGGCCAAGGAGCCCGTCACAGGACGCCGTGCAGCTGGCGGCGTTTCCTTGCTGGGCGGCTTAGTTGCCCTCTCGCCTGCAGCGCTTGTTTCACCGACATCGCTGGTGGAAGACGATCTGCCCTACTCTAGTGTACGTGATTCTCTGGTCATGTCCAGCCTGGAGAGCGCGGAGCAGCAGAGGGAGCCAGTGCCCATTTTGCCTGCCGCTGTGGATTACGCCAAGGAGAATATCTATGCTGAGATCTGCGCATCGCACACCTGCGATGGCTTCTCGGCCACTACGCAGCTGACGCAGCTGCCATCGCATCACGACGATAAAGGGGAGGACAGAGATGATGCAGTGGATGATGATGGAGATTACGCTTCGCTCAAATATCTGCCGAATGGATCGCAGTCTGTCAGTCGGGTGGAGATTAACTGCCCCACAGCCAACACCTCGATTAGCTACCACACCGTCTACCTAGGCGAAGAGCCACTCGGAGAGCAGCATGTGACCACCGTGGAACTAGCTGGAGAGGATAACATATACAATACGCTCAAATGATGATTCTTGTGATTTCGGAGGCAACGGCTAGCCGGCGCCCAGGGGTTATTCTGAATGTGAAAGGACAATGCGAATTCTATAATATATATAGAAGCATACATGTATTTATTTATATGTAGTAGTCTACATATAAATATATTTATGTATGTATATGTATCTATTTTATTTAAAATAACTCGTTAAGCGAACAAAACTGAGAAGTAGTATGTATACACATATATCATTATTGTATATAAACAAAACATGTGGAGCAAACGCTCTGCAGTGCAGGCAACATTAGAAAGACCCATATAGGAAATAGGTGTATAATTACCCGAATAGGACAGCAAAGTATTTTCAAGATAAACAGAATGGTATTGTTTCAAACAACACACAAAAAACAAATACTGGAATGTGCAAAAAAAAAAAAAAAAACAAAACAAAACAAAAATCGAAAATGTCTTAGTGAAGGCAAATAATGAAAAAATAAGAGAAGAGTCAATTTGTGGAAAGTCTTTATATTTTTAATGATTTTCTAAATCGACTCTTTAAAATATTTTGTTTGGAATAATTGAAAGGAATTCAATATTTTGTAACTACAAAGCTCACGAAACTGAAATTGTAATTAAACATAGCTTATAATTTCCGAAAGTTTCTAGTTGAATGTAAAAGCTTTATAAATTTCATTTTATTTAAATTTCTCTTTTAAATGCAATTGAATTTATTGATATTCAAAAAAGAATTTTGAAAATACCAAAAAAAATTTAAAAAAAAATAGTTTTGGTTTATTTTTCTTGATTCATTTCAGAATAATTGTCAAATACCTATATATATATATAATTCTTAAAGTTTTGCTAGTACTGAATTCCTTTCATTGATTCTTATGGGTTTGATCCATCGTTATGTATTATTGAGTAGACTGTAGTTGTAATCGAGAAACCTGTCATTAAATTAAGGAAGGTTTTTCCCTGCTTTATAAGCAGCCACGCCCCACCCCGCCCGCTCCACATACTAAATCTAAAATACACAAAAAAAAAAAAAAAAAAAAAAAAAAAAAAACAAACAAAATATGAGATCAAGAAATGACAACTCAATTTGTAATATTATATTATATAAGGAATGGAAGACAAGCAATTTGTATTGTATATAGGTTAAATGCAACACACTCGAAACACACGCATAAAATGTCAAATGAAACTGAATGTTGAAAACTTGCAATATTATACAATTGTATACATTACTAACAAATATCATATATACCATATACACACACAAATGATACGTATGCATACATACAGATATATATATAACTAATTTAATGTATGATCTATATGCTTAGATGTTAGATATATCATGTGTAGAAGTCTTAGCGCAAAACATAAGGTATTATTAGCTTGTAGGCAATCAACAAGTCAAATCAAATCATAAGCGCTATACATACATAAGCGTTGATATACATATGTATTTATATATACTTATATATACATATATATATCTGTAGGGTATAGCGTCTATGCTTATGTAATATAAAGCTTGCAATTTAAGGACTAACCACATTTTGGTCCATTTTTAAACGATCTCTCGTATTTGTCGCTCTGTTTAATATATACACATAGATATATCCTCTATTTTTTGGCACTGGCGGTACGGCATGTTCGAAATTTTCCGTATATCACAGTTGTAATAATTTGTCTGTTTGTCCGATGATAATTTCTTATTTATTTTTTGAGTCATGAATAACTGGTTAGAAGTCTCAAATGAAATATGTTCTAGTCCTCAGTTATATATACATTAGATATATGTTTATATACATTCATATGGATATATGTTTTATAAGACATGCCTCACTGTGCGAGCGTTTCGGTCAGGCTGAAAGATATGCAAATTGATTATCGATTCTCGCTTATTTTAAACTAAATATTTAGCAAAGAATTTATTTTTATTTCTATTTCAAAATCAAAAGATATCGATTAATTTCTATATGGATCTACCTTTTAAGATTATGTCCACTTAATACAAGCATAAATTATGATTTACAAAAGCAACAATCATGTTTTTTCCTTTGAAAGCATTATTTAAATATCAGTTCGCAATTGTGATTAAATATTAATTTTTTTCAGTTTTCCTTTTTTTATGAACAACTGCAGCCACAATCAACTGTAAATAGACTTCATATTTAGGATATATAGACTACATATAAGATCTGTATTTACGAACATAAAAACCCTGTAAAAACTAAAGCAATACTCACAAAAAAGCTATGATACTAGTTGTAAAGCCGATTCAGCTAAATGCAATTTGGATGCGTTTACGAAACTGAGAGAAAGCTCTATAATACTACAGTTATATAAAGCATACGTATAGGTATAATACTTTGGGCACGTGTGTGTACTTTGAGTACTCTGAACATTGCATAGTGTTTTCTTGGTAGATACTAAGTCTGGCTTCACTGTAGCGCAAGGGTGATACAATGTATGTTTGTGTTAATGGAAAATATAAGATTTGTATCTATTTAAAAAACTACCCGCCAGCATATACATATATCTGTAAATGGTATA